GGCTCGTAATCCTTCTCGTCGATCAGCTGACCACCAATGGCACCAACGTAGTTGACGACAGGGGTGAAGCGGTCATCGATCTTGATGCTGGAGGGGATAGCGGCCTTGAGGTGGTTGGCAATGGTGGAGATGTCACCAGACTTCTCGATCTCGGGGATCTTGCCGTTCTCGACGTGACCGACACGGATGAGGGTGTCGAGACCCTGGCGGGTCTTCTCACGGGCCTCGGGGTCAGCCAAGTTGTCGTGGTTCTTCTCAAGCGCGGGCATGAGACGGGGCAAGAAAGCGGCGACAATCTGGGGGTCCTCGACAAGCTTGCACATGTTGTCGATAATGACGGCAGACTTACGCTTGATGGCAGTCTCGCGCTCGACGAGACCACGCTCAAGCAGGGGAACCATGATGGCGAGGGTGGGCTCGTGGACATCAGTGACGAAAGTGGTGGCACCGAGCAAGTGAACGGTCTCGGGGACGTTCTCAGGCTTAGCGATACACTTGATAAGCTCGGGAATGAAGCGCTCGATATCCTTGTTGGAGATCAAGGAGCAGAGAGTCTCCATGGTGCCGTAGGCAGCCTTCTTGACCTCAGGCTTGGTGTCCCACATGGCTCCCGAGATGACGGGAATCAGGTCGGGGACACGGAAAGCCATCTGGGCAGGGGCGCTCTTGGTGAGGGCCTCAATGCACTTCAGGTCGGTCATCTTCTCGGGCCACTTTTGTGCGTTCTCGAGCGAGTTGATGATGTGGGGGATGATGGCCTTGACGGCGTTGGGGTTGGCAGCCATGACGATGGACTCGGCGGCGGTCTGGGCAGCGACCTTGACGCCGCTCATCTTGTCACCGACCGCGGCCAGCACGTCCGGCAGGAGGGAGACGAGGTAGGGCTCGACCGAGGCGGAGACGTGCGAGTGCTGGGCGATAGCACGGATGGCATCGAGCGCGCGCTCACGGGCGACGGCATCCTTCTTGCTGGCGAGTTGCTTCTTAAGCACCTGGACAGCCCTGCGTGTTTGTTAGAGACTGCGCTGTGGCGGGGGAGGGGCAGAGTGCAAACATACTTGGTTGGAGCGTCAGCCTCCTCAATGTCGCCGTTGATGAAGGTGGCGATGGCCTGAGCAGAGGCGTTGATCTCGTCCTGGGCCTTGGACACGGTCAACTTCTGCATCATCTCCTCAAGCGCCTTGAGCGACTTGGAGTTCTCGGACTTGATGTCCTTGGCATCATGCGAAGCAGCAGGCGCCATGTTGTCGGTGTAGGTAGAGGGGGGAGGTGTAGAGAGGGCGGAAGAGGTAGGTGGGGTGGTCCTTATATATGGACTTTGGCGGGGCCTAAAAAACTTTTGGCGCGAAAAGATAGAGTGAATCTATCGGGGGGGTATCAACGCGAGGAATCTGACTCGCAACCTTTCTATGCTACCGGGCACAACGACAGAAAGAAGGGAAAGGGAGTGTGAATGGAGAGAAGCGGCTGTGAAGGCTCGACGGGCTCTTTAAATTTGACCTTGCTCTTTGGTGGGATTTTGGCTCGCTTTGAGATTTTCTCGCACGGGCCAGATCTTATCGCGCTGAGGGACCCGACACCAGCTTCGCCGCCCAGGCGTTGCAATTATTTGCCTATGATCTAATTCGCATCCCATTCATCGCCAGAATTTTCCTTCTCGCCGCATTTTCCCCAGTTATCTAGTACTCCCCGCAAGTGTCTACTTCTGCTTCTTCACAACAGAGGGGCAGCAGCTTTGCCGCCGCCGGAGCCATGTTGCAGCCCACGTTGCAAAAGGCCATCTATGTGTGGCGAGTTTGGGTAAGGCGCGCTGACCGCCTTCTTCAACAAGACACCGTAGCCAACGACATGCAGCCAACGGTTGGGAGCCGCGGGAAATGCGCGCTGAAGATCAGGGACTGCACTAATCCAACCCGACCGCCATGTCAGCATCCTTACAATAGAGCACACATTTCAAGCCACGGCATTTACAACACACATTCTGCCAACTCTTCCACCTCGGCCTTTGAAAACACCACGGCATACGACTTCTAGCTCAATCTACGGGTGTTCTCTTACTGATGGGGTAGCCTTGCCGGCCACTATTCGTACAGCCCTGCCAAGTCGTCGCGCTACGGCCACAAGCGGAGGCTCCAGACTACTACCTCCCCGATTCTGCCGAAGTCGAGACAGCAAGTGTTTCTGGTACCCTCGCCACCCTGCGTAGACCACCGCCGAGCCATCACCGGCACCACGCCGTACTATGCCAGAAGTATTAGAGACGGTAAAATCTTCCGAGACTACTTGTCAGTATAGCGCATGACACACCGAACCTGACCGCCCTGGTGTCGCCGTGTGTGGTCCCTGTTCATAGGATTACTAACATGACCCTTACGACGGCCCGTGACGGATGCAGAACACAACTACGAAAGAGTTGGACCCTGACGATGTCGAATTGTTAGCCGTATGCGAACCATCGCTCAACCACATTGCGCTCCGCAAACCCCCACTTCTTATCGATACCCCGGATTTCGACGTGTCAGAGTTCCTCACAGTACGCTTGTACCAATCCGTCAAACTTCAAGTCTGCGCATTCATGGCATTGTTATCTGTGCCAACGGCACCCTGTGCTGTTGGATTATTCTTATTTACGTTGTGCGAGCGTACACTCTGTCGTCTGTCCCGAGGCAGTCGCGTATAAGTCAATTCACGTCACTCACCAAAAAAGCATGCAGAGCGTCTTCGGATCCGATGAAGACAAAAGTAGCACCTCAGACAAGGGAAAAGGTAAACGCTCTAGAGTCTAGACTAGCCTTAGATTGTCCGGTTTGTGTTTTTTGCTCTCGTGTAGTCCGTAGACATGTTTAGCTATTCCCTTGTACATGATAGTAGCGGACTGCGAAATCTGATCGGATTAGCCTCAGTATGGCGTGGTCAATAGCTGCTACAGGCGGAATCAGGAACAGCTACAGCGCACATGTACAGTCATTTCCAAAGAACTGGAGAAGCTTCTTCAGATGACGTTGTTGACGGCACCCGTATCGATGTTCCCAGGCCGCAGACCTTTTGCATGATCATTAAGATGGCGCCGAAGATGTCACCGGGGCGATATTGAAAAGAAGAACGCGACGATATCTCAGCGATATACATGCGTCTGCAGTCATTCAGCAACATCAGACCAGCATTATATAAGGCACCGCGGTGGACTGAAAAGTGTTTGTTGCGGTCAATGTAATGTCAGCTACACAGACGAACTCCAGGATGGCAGAGTGGTCAGTGCTGGCGCTTCAGCCAAATTTCCGGTCATGTCCGACTCCACATCCACGACCAAATCGCTCACAGCTCAGCCGCAATGCGACCCATGTCTAACCCGTTGGGTATGATCAGTCTCCGCAGACGTGTGGCGCGCGCAGTCAGCTCCATACGAGGGCAAGTCACACTTAAGGCGTGCGTGTGATGCCGCAATCGCACTGGCCTGACCATCTGCCAACCTGCCCCTCCCCCACCGTAGGCGCAACCACATTCCACATCTCTACCTAGAGCCTTCGTACATCTTTTCTCCTTAGAAACAATACACATCACATTGAAGAACAACATGTCAGGCCAGGATTACTACGGTCAGGGTCAAGGCCACGATCAAGGCTACGGCTACAGCCACGGCGGCGCATACCAGCAGCCCCAACAGCCGCAGCATGGCTACGGAGAGCATAACCAGGGCTATCCTCCTCAACCTCAGGCGTACGGACAGCAGCCGCACGACCAGTACGGTCAGGGACATCACAGCCCCTACCCACAAGGACAGGTCAGTATTATTGCGCAACCTCGGCGCATTCTATCCACCAGCCTTCAGCTACTCACATCACTGTAGAGCTCCTACCCCCCGCCGTCGCACGACCCCTACGGACAGCCTCCCCAGCACGGCTATGGTGCCCCGCCCCAGGGCCAGTACCAACAGAGTTACGACCCGAACCGCAGCACTTCTCCCTACCCCCCTCAGGGCCATCAGCAGCAAGGCTACCACGACCCGAACCAGCAGTATGGCGCGCATCCACAACAGGGCCATCACGAACCGCAGCAAGGCTATGGTGCGCCGGCATATGGGCAACCCGGCGTACCCGGCGGCCCTGGCGAAGGCGACCGCGGCCTGGGTTCAGCTCTGATGGGAGGTGCAGGCGGCGCGTTCGTGGGTAACAAGCTCGGAGGCGGCGCGCTGGGCACGCTTGGAGGAGCGCTTTTGGGGGCGGTTGGCGCCAACCTCATTCCTGACAAGTAAGCCAAATGCACGTTCCAGCGTTATGGCGGGCATTATCTAACATGACTCTAGGAAGGAGAAGAAGCACAAGAAACACAAGAAGCACGGCAGCTCTGACCATGGCTCGCACCACGGCTCGCACCACGGTTCACACCACGGGTCTTCGCATCATGAATCGCATCACGGATCCTCGCACCACGGTCATAGCCACAAGAGCCACAGTAGGAGCCGTAGCAGGGGCGGCAAGAGTAGTTCCAGTTCTAGCAGCGACTCAGACTAGAGATGTTGCGCATATGGGGTGTTTCTGGCTCGGTAGATGCAGGGCGCACACTGTGATGGCACGGTCGTAGTCATACCTAGGTAGTTCTCTTGAATAAGATTTATTTGTAAAGCTAAACACGTGCTCATATGCGCAAATGCCCAGGCACTTAATGATGTAAATGCGCCCGAGCCGGATTTTACTCACGCATGAAGTTGAAGTCAACAGCCAACTGTGCGCATGCCTGCTACGGACCTGAACGGCTGCTATGCCTTGCATGCAGATGTGGACCAGACCCTGTTGTCCCAAAGTGGTTAGGCGTGCCACCAGACAGCCCTTTCCAAGGTTTTCTCCACTCTTACTCATCGCCGCAAATTCCAAAAGCAGCCCCGCAACCACGCTATCAAGATGCAAAATTAGTGGGAATAAGTTTATAACTTCCTGTAACAACTTTGACGATAACTTGCACGACACGGTTCCACTTCAAAAGTTACTCCAATCAGCATAAACATGGCGGATGTCTTCCTGGACTTCTTCCGCAGTTCATTGCCAGATGAACTCGCGGCAGTGCTCGAAACGACCATCACAGCGACAAAATCGGGAGATTTCCTAGGCGTACTCCAAATACCGGAAGCGCAACTATTGCTAGGATACCAGGACAATGAAGCCACCAAAGACGTTAAGAGGAGCGACTTTTCTCTCTGGAGCGACTACATCTTCCATCGCCTAGGACTGCTTCTGTCGAAAGGGAACGAGGAGGAGTCTACCCCGATAAAGGAAACGTCAGCATATCGACAGCATGTTTACTTCCTGATCGCCATTGCGGCGTTTCATGCATTCCTACAGTCGAATGTCACTGGCCCACCACTACCCTTCAAGTCTGCTGAGACGCTGTTGTCAAAAGACGTGGCAGATGATGCGAAGCTTCTCAGTAAGACGCGCGCAGATCTCGTCGCATCGCTTAGTGCAGATGGTGTTGCGGCATACAAGCTCACACCGAACATCGAGCTGCTGTGTCTTGCGCACACCATCCTCATCAGTCCCCCGATTCAAAAGAACATCCCGGTTTCGGCATGGGCGCGTCTTAGAGTGAACTTTGTGCATCAAAGGCTGCTCAGCGAACCGGCGCCAAGTCTACAGGATGCTATCTACAATGACTTGAAGGTGGTAGAGGACTTGATTCAGAACTCGGGAAAGAACGGGGAGATCAAAGACTTGCATACGACTTTCCTCCTGGAACGAGCAGCCGTTCATACGCACCATGGTCTAGATAAGAAATCCAAGGCAGACCTTGACCAGGCAACCTCAGAACGAAAGTTCGAATTTGCGTTGACTGGACTGATGGGCAAGAGAACAAAGTTCCAACAGAAAGATACCAGTCAACTGATTGTACTCGCCCGAAGTGCGGGATCGGAAACCAACGGCACATCTGATGAGAGTTCAAAGCCAAAGGCTTTAGATCTCAATGACGATACCCTGCTGGAATCGATTTCATTTACCAACAACACTGCATCCATGGAAATCAAGGATGAGTCCAATCTACCGGCATCGCTCACATCCATGGACCCATCAAACCAGCCATTGCTCGATCCGCTAGACTCCGTCATCATGCTTTCGCTAGCCGAAAGCATCAAGAACACCAATCCAGCAGATGGTCTCACAAGAGAACAGACAGAACCATATGCCACCCGAGTACTAGAGGGCGGAAGCTCAAACTGGCAAGTCTACACCCAAGCTCTGCTTGTGAGGAGCCGTATTGAGGGCTACAAGTCGCGGACTATGGAGCGTGGTCTCCTCCAGCTTCAAGCGCTGGTTGATCAAGTCATCGCAGAGACCTCGGGCGATGCTACTACCGACGCCGAGACTGGCGAGAAGATCACTTCGTTCCTCCCACAAGCCAAGGAGAGTGAGTCTGCATCGGTTGAAGAACGCCTCCGTTACGTCTTCCCGCTCTGCTCCCCATCTCGCTGGGAGCTTGAGTCTGAGCTCGCTGCGCGATGGGTTGCCCTCGGCGGTCTACGATCCGCGCTCGAGATCTACGAGAGACTAGAGATGTGGGCTGAAGCAGCGCTGTGCTATGCTGCCACCGAGAAAGAGGAGCGAGCGCGCAAGATGATCCGACGACAGCTTTTCCATGCCACCAATGGCGATGACGAGAACGTTGACTTGGACGAAGAGAAGTGGGATGGTACTGAGCGGGATCCACCACCAGCCGAAGCACCGCGCTACTACTGCATCCTCGGTGACATTGACAACGATCTCTCCATGTATGAGAAAGCCTGGAACGTCTCCGGCCAACGATACGCGCGTGCTCAACGCTCCCTCGGCCAACGCTACATCTCAGCACGCAACTACGAGAAAGCCGCAGAAGCCTACGCACTATCCCTAAAGATCAACGCGCTCTACCACCCCGCCTGGTTCGCACTCGGATGCGCCTACCTCGAGCTCCTCCAATTCAAAAACGCCGTCGAAGCCTTCTCCCGCTGCGTGCAGCTCGACGACCAAGACGCCGAAGCATGGAGCAACCTCGCAGCCTCCCTCCTGCACCTCAAGCCCAGGGTCCAAGAAAACGCCGACGGCGAACTCCAAGAAACACGCGTAACAAACCACCCCCGCACCGACGCCCTCAAAGCATTCAAACGCGCCGCAACAATCAAGCACGACAACTTCCGCATCTGGAACAACGTTCTCGCCGTGAGCGCATCCACCAACCCGCCCTCCTGGGCCGACGTCGTAACAGCCCAACGCCGCATCTGCGAGCTGCGCGGCTCGACCGAAGGCGAAAAGTGCGTCGACGCTGAAGTCATCGACATGCTCGTCAAACACGTAGTCTCCGCCGAAGACGGCTTCGACATCACGCGTCCTGGTCTTCCGCGCCTTGTAAACGACCTCATGGAAAAACACATCAAGCCCCTCATCACTGTCTCCCCCAAACTCTGGCTCATCCTCGCAACACTGTACACGCACACGCAGCGCCCCAGCTCCGCACTTGAATGCCACGAGAAGGCGTGGCGGGCCGTGACTAGCCAGCCGAAATGGGAATCTGGAACTGAGGCGGAGTGGAATGCGGTTGTGGATATGACGATTGATCTTGTGGATGCGTATGAGACGCTGGGGCCGAGGGAGCGCACGGAGGGGTTGGCAGGTGGCAGTGGGGAGCTGGTGGCGAAGGACTGGAAGTTTAAGAGTAGGAGTGCGGTTAGGAGTGTTATGGGGAAGGGCAAGGAGAACTGGGAGGATAGTGCTGGGTGGGAGAGGTTGGTGGAGAGGTTGGAGGAGTTGAAGGGGAGGGAGTAGATGGGGTGATGGGTATCTGGTGCTGTGGGGATTTCTTGGGATGAGAGTTGTTGAGTAGGAAAGTATAAAAGCTTGTTTTTCTATTGAGAATCTCTACGCGTGTGGTGCTATGCTACTGTTGTTGAAGAGAAGATCAAGTATTTGCAGGTAGGCATTTCATCAACGCCATGGTGGTATGAAGTGGTAGTAGCATCTGAATCTTACTAGAAGCTGCTTCAACTCGATCTGTGGTGATGTACATGATTTGGTCTTTCGTTCATGGGCTATGACGTGTTTGGATTCATCATGGAAAACTAAAAGGGGTTTGGGACAGTAATGAATTGTTTACGACATCGATAAATTTGGCGCTTCCGCATCGATGTGTCACAGCGAGGCAATGACTGCCCCTCGAGCCGCAAAGTATTAATGCACCTACCAAATGGCTGAGACACTCAGGGGGTGAATGGAAAACGCAAGACATAACCGTTGAAGACGTTGCACACCAATCGTTAGAGCGAAAAGCGATGTCTCGCAGCGGAGATGCCTCAAAAGTGCATCTGCTCCCTCAGCGGCAAGCTCGGGCGAAGTTCCTGGGGAAGTAGCGCGCCGTGGTTTGTACCACACTCTGCGCTGTCGGTAGTGCCTACCGTGTCAGCAAAGACTGCTGCCCAAGAGCGACTACCCTCTTAGTTCGCGCGATGCAAGCTACCCGTCTAGGTGCATGATCAGAGCTGAACTCTTTCCCCACACCCGCTCTTCCGGCGGCCAGACCTGGTATCCGGGTTGTCTCGCCCCTTGCTGTGGCGACCGAGAAGGTTTGGTGTGATGAGAAAGTAAGAACAGACCCGACAACCGGGTTCATAAGGGTGTGCTTTGCGAATCGAATCCGCCGCGGAACTTCGGCTTCTGGCCGAGCCTGTGATTGTGAAGGAGATGTATCGTGGTCAGAGTGGCCATGCTCATCTTGGGTAGCTGCATAAACTCTATTTCCGCTCGGTACCGAGGTGTTGGTTGGATGCTCCTTATCTCGTGAAGGGGAATGTAAGATCCATAGGTTATTGGCCAATTCTGGAGGTTACTGAAATGCGTGGCGATTAGATGCGTGGCAAGTAGCAACAATGTAGCAGGTGCATTACTGACAAGATGAGATCCATGATACGTTTGCGCAAGAGACCCACCCGAACGCTTTCGGAGTAGCCACCATGGGGATTAGCTAAAGCGGGTCATCTCTTTTATGGTGTAGTGAGTGCGACGTCCGAGAGTCTTGTGCTCAGTTCGTGCAACCAGACCAGTGGTCGATAGCCCGAGATCTGCTCGCGTACAAGACCCGTTGCAAGGTCACACATGTTCGCCTTCGTTGCGATCGACGACGGTGTGTTGTTAAGCAGTTCATCTCGAGATCGTTGGCAATTCGTCCGGGATTGAGTGGTGGACGGCGTCCTGGGATTTCTCCAAGCGTTGGGATACCCAGGCAGTCTCTGTATTGGGTCCACTACACTGGGGCGGCTGACTGCATGCCTCTCATATTGTACGACCATCACCCGTAAGCGCGTTTCAGATGACAGAGGCAAAGACCCAGCACCGTGGCAAGCATCCGCGTGGAGGATATCATCCTAGTCGCAAGAGAGTGTTCAAGCCATGGTACGTTTTCCAACTCTTATAATGGCTAGAGCAGCAATTTCAAGTCGCTCATGCGCAGGTATGGTAATACAATGGCGTATCGAACGGCGTTGTAGGCCGGTCACACCAGATAAATTGCCTCCAAGCCACGGTGACGGCAAACGCGTCGCGTTGCAGCGTGCATGCTGATCCATTTCCGGTAATCACGACTGTGAACAGACACGATGGTAAAGAGAGTGATTGGCAGGCTTGGCCACTACGGAGCTACACCTAATCCAGGTATATTTGCGGGCGTCTTACTAGCAGCTCTGCGTAGCTGACATCGGGGTGGTGGTAGGGAGAAAAGGGCGCTGGAAGCCGTGTAGTCGTCGTGATTGATAGATTTGTAGATTGGCAGTAAGTGGGGCTATCGTAAGATGATCAGTGCAGCCCAAAGTCAGAGGAATGTCGGCACTTTGGAGGCAATGGCAGCACGAAGCAGGGTCCCGGTGTCTGCCAAGGTGCGGTGGGAGGAATGCGGTCCCCTGCAGAAGACACCCGAATGTCGCATTGCGCTCCTGGCGAGCTATGGTAAAGAAGGCGAACGGATGGCCATGATGGAGACGGCATAATGGCTCGATGGGTGATGTTATCACGGAAGCGCTGATGCTAATGCTCCGCTTCTGGCGGCTGACACACAGCCACGAGAGACCCGGCAGGCATCCGTTCGGGACAAGCGCGTTGAGGATACGGCATCAGCTTTCTAAGAATACTACAAGGCCACACTGGCCATGGTTCGCTGGAATGGCACTGCGTGAACGCCGGATGGAGATAGATGTGGGAGTCGCGTCCGTTGAACGCGTTCGGCAGTCGCGTTGGTGTCGGCAGACGCGTCGGTAGTAACGGTATTTGCAGCGCCGAGTCGCGTAGTGATTAAGAGCGTAATGATGGCCCTGAGGCGAGAATAGATCGTGATGGAAGTTGCGTCAAAGTGAGGGGCTCCGTGGCGGTCAAGTCAGCCTCATCTCGCGGGAGGAGCGACGGGCGGGTGTCGTCGCTTTTTTCCCGATGCGGCGGGATGCAAACAAAGCGAGGCAGCTACGACGCTCTGGCCGAGGCAGGAGCGATGGCTAACGAAGAAGGCGCTGGCGATGCCGTTGACTACCCCAACGCGCCTGCGTGGGACAACAACATCCCTTCGCCGGCGCATCGCCGTCGAGCCAGCAGAGTCGCGAAGCGAGGCGTAGGCAGCTTTGCGGTGCCTGGCTTGCCTGAGGCTGTTTGGTGTGGCTTTTCTGGCGATGCGCAGGATGGACAGGGGTCGGGCGAATTAAGGTTCTGCAAGCCACACCAGGAATAGATGCATCTTCGCTTGACCGCTGGCAACGGAGCCCATTGCTCACCACACTCCAACACATGCCCTCCCTTCCTGCCACTATGCCATTACCACCACCCTCACATGGGGCCATGCTGAGCATTGCCGCGCATTGGCCGCCATGAGCAGCCATCTGCCGTCATCGCGGCTACTCGTTGTCCACTGAGCACTGGAGCCCATGTCCCGGGCCCCAGAGGCTCATGGCCGCCCTGACAGTCGTCCATCCTAGAGGCCTTAGACGTGCTGCTGATGCTCACTGGATTGCTGGGCCGCATGTATATCATCGTCAAGGTCACCGCCGCGCTGGGCACCCACCATGCTCTTGCTACGCCCGGCATATGCGTCAACCTCGCCATACTCAGCACCCCATTGATCCCTCTCATACCCACCCCAACTGCTCGCCATCGCTCTCCGTGTTTACAGTCTATCGCAATCACAATTTGATTCACATCCGACGCCTCGCGGACACTGTCTGGGAGCTCTGGCCCTGCTTCTCCGCATCCGCGCTTCCTACCATTGCAGAGGTCTTAGGGCCCCACTCCACATCTCAGGTACTGGCCAAGACAAGTGCCCTCCAGAATCAATCGTCTTCAATCTAGAGTTGTGTGTTGAAGCATTTCTGATTGACCCACTGTGGGCAGCCGTCACTGGACAGAGATAATCAGCACTCATAGTGGAGCCCAGCTTACTGCCACTTTGCACTGCTGCGCCATCCGAGGCCACCCGCCAGAGCCTCAGCGCACAGGACCCAGCCGCCTGCTAGCCTTCACCGTTTTTATCCATCAATGCGAACAAAGGGCCCGTCAGGCTTTGCACGACGTGGTGCTCAACGGCCATAATACTAGCCTTTTGAGGGCGTGCTTCACCATCGACAGGCCCGCTAGGCTACCAGGTGGACGGGATCGGTAATCACCAAGAGTCATCCCAGCCCCCAAGAATACCCTGTGCTCACTCGCTCTTCCTTGCAGTTGTGTCTATGCTCCGCCGTAAACGCTCGACCAATCCCGTCTCTCTTCCGCTGCCCTGGGTCCGTTCGTCGCTCGATCCGTACATCAGCTCTACCTGGCATTAACTGTTGCCTACCTCCGCAGTCATAGCTCCGTCGTCCCGCAGCTCCATATACCGTCCGCACGGCAAGGCTGCCGAGCCTCACGCATACTGGCCAGTCCTTGGTTAATGTCACTACTCCTTTGTCCTATATGTAAGTCAAGCTGTCAGTCACGTCAAAATGCGGGTCGATTAATGCGACATCCCGTACCAAGTCGCTCACACTCATTTCAGCACATGGTCGTTGCTCTGAATCAGTGACGATTTGCGAAAGCAAGACGACCCGTTCCCTGTTTCGTCAGTAAGAAGCTGCAATTGTCTGAGCTGCAGTCGGCGAAGAGCTGGACTCACCGCGTTTGATACCGAGACTCAAATTCGCCCTGGGGCCCGTATGAATCGAACTCCTGAACAGCCCGATCGTTTGTCTCTAAGCAGGCCACTTCTGTCGGCTTCGCTAGTCCCAAGACCTCCGAAAATTATCTCCGGATCTATCTCTCATCGCATTTGTGGTACTTTGTTGAGTCTACTTGTCGCAAAATCTGCCTGCAACAAGGGTACACTGTCTCTTTACCACTGGGAAGGACGCAGACTCTCACCCCACGAGTCCTGTGACATTCCGTCATCGTCTCACTTCCACCGAGACGAGAAGGCAACACTTTCAACAGTCCCTGGAAATTTTCATCCCTGTCGAGCTGGGCCGTTTTATCTTGTCGAACCATCAGGTGCGTTATTCCTCCTACGTGACGGGTCCTCGAGGCGTGTCAGGACACCTGCTTCAGGACCCCTCCATGGCTGCCTGCGCGTTGACCCCCACATGAATATTAGGCTGCCTGCTAACATTCCTCTAGGGATTAGCTAGCTTCTACCAGGCGGCGTCCTCGATCAGTGTCAGGACCTATCCCCAGTGTTGCGCAGTTCGGTCCTTGGTGGTGGGCCTCAGGCTGTCCAGGCTGCGAGAACTGCAGAACTACTATCCATGTCGGGATACAGCAAGAACCATGAGTATGTGTATGGTAAGTGGATTGTGGCTCATCTGACGAGTGTGGAAGCGCACCTGCCATGGTTGGGTCGGCTGAACCCGGCACTGGCCCACGTGAGAACGATTAGCACGTTTGACTGACCACATACATTCCAGATGCCGAAGCCACCAGATCAAATCAGGTTGCAAGCTATCCGAGCATTGCGCAGCCCGCATTCGCCTCGCAGTACACGGATGCGCCCGCGCTACTAAGCCATGAGCCCACGAGCGCAGAGATGCCCTACATCCCTAGCTTGGTATACGAGTCACGCGGTGCAGCAGGCCATCATCCCAATCCATCATTTATCGATGCAGGAGCTCGTCATCCCGCCTCTCTTGCAGATACTGAAACGGAAATCACCGAACAAATTACACCCGCACAAGGCACTGCTGGATCAACGGTAACGCTGCACCTCCGGACGAATTACGATCTTGATGCAAACCAGCATACTTTCATACTCATGTTCGGTAGCAAGAAGTGCGTCGCTGCACTGCAGAAAGTCGACTACGACGACGATGCATGGACCAACTACGTACTGAACGTCGAAGTGCCCCCTTTCCCACTGACCAACACCTTCGATCCAACCATGATGTTGAAGATGCAGATGGAAGACAAGATGGGCAACTTACGATCGGAAACGGACGCTGGAAGATTCACATACACCGACATGTCGCCAAACCTAGCATACCAATCCTCACCTAATTTCTCCAGGAAACGAAAATACTCTCCAGAGTTCGGAAACAGTCGAGGCTACTCCGATGGCAATGTCGCAAAGCGAGCATTTGCGAAGCCACGCGCTTCGTCGGGAGCCTACTCTGCCGCTCAACTATCGCCGCTACCGACCCAGTCTGCGTTGGACAACACGTACGCACAGAGCGCTGGGTATGATATGTCTAAGCAGACAAACTACGGCTCGCAACTGTCCCAGAGGGCTCTTTACGCAGTACCGTCAGGTATTGGCATGAGCCACAGCGACTACAAACTGCCCCAGATGTCGCCGATGCCGCATTCTTATGCTTCCTACAACCCCCTCACTCATACCAGTCGAAGCAACACCGCGACCGTTCTGCCCTCACCACCGGCACTTTCAACACCGGTTCTTGTCCGCGCAACACATCTCGCGCAAGGAGAGGGTAGTACTGGTTCGACTCAGCCTTTCAATCCGTATGCAATGGGTCCGAGCAAGGCGATATTGGAGATCGACGGCGATCTTGATAAGATGGGCGACAACTGGTCGACAGAGGAGTTGGACGCGAAGAGACGACTTGTCGAGTTCCAAAGATCGCAGCATGGCAGCAAGATAACGACTACTTTTGCGCCAACAACACTGGAAGCTCGACAGGGGCGTGGCATCTGCGTCAGCTGTATCTGGTGGAAAGAGAAGAATGAGTGCTTCATCACAAGCGTAGACACCATTTTCCTACTGGAACAACTCGTAAACGTTCGCTTTACCGTCGAGGAGAAGAACCGCATCCGTCGCAACCTCGAAGGCTTTCGCCCCCTCACAGTCTCCAAGGCGAGGGCGGATAGCGAACCATTCTTCAAAGTTATCATGGGTTTCCCCAATCCCAAGCCTCGTAATATTGAGAAGGACGTCAAGGTGTTCCCCTGGAAGATACTGTCGCATGCTCTAAAGAAGATCATCAGCAAATACGTACGTTCTCCGCAACTAGCTACTGAGAGCGAAGCTAACAAGACCAGTCTGCTAGTTATGCCTCGACAGCTGGCGTTGGGCATCTCTCCACTGCGACGACTTCGTACGCTCCAAGCACTGCCCTGCAGGCAACACTGAACGCTCATCGACACACATCACCTCAAACCCTGCCTACTTCGACTGCTTCAACGGCCTATACATCCGGCTTGACCTCGTCTAGTCTATCGCCCCATCAAAATGTGGCAGCAGGCTTCGAAGGATCAGCAGGACAAGGCATGCCGGTTGCCCAAAGGACACCTTCAGGCCAGGGCATGACTCTGTGGGGCACTACCACTCACCAGATATCACAATACCCGTCGCCTCTTTCTCATGGAGGACGAGGGTCCTGGGACTATGGATATCCCAATACTTCGGCTGCAACGGAAATGCCGCCAATCGCGCATGCGCTGCAAATGCCACGGCAGAACGGCTTGCCAGACTTCAGCCAAATGTCATCAACTCATGGCTACCATCAATACGGTGAAGATACAACGAGGGTGTAGGAGAGGCAAGATTGGGAGACAAACTCCAAGGGTTACCGATACGACTACGCGTTGCGGGCTCTGATCTGCATCGGGTGATCAACCAATGTCCGCATGATCCATGCGGGCCTAACCCGATGGGGTGTTGCACCAATCGCTCTCCACACCACTCATCGCTAGATTCGCCTCGCGCATCCCGCACACCTTCAGACGTTCGCAACTCTCTAATAATATCCGGTATCTGGTTTGGCGTTGAATACGGCGGTTTCGGCATTTGGACACTGGACGCATCATACCCCGGGGAGGCGGCGTTTACCACACTTTCGGTTTCATCATCGACTACACATAGAGGATCATCATTAACGGTACAAGCCATCTTACGCATACAACCCGATCGCGAACCCTGTCGATACAGGATGGTCAGCTTTGCATTACATTGGCGTTCATTCCACTCTTTCTACCCAATAATCTTTCCCATCTTCGCCTCTCGGAGTGTTCTTCCACGGAGCTCGACGTCGATCGCTTTTCAAGGCAACATCCGCGCCAACCACAGTCTCGAGCCCGTCCGCACTACGTCCCCCATGTATCTCGATCCGCATTTCAAGGGAATGTGCAACGAGGCTCTTTCATTTCTCCCATATACCCATGGCTTGGTGTTCGCCTAGTCATTTCTTTCGTTTTCTTCAAACTCCAGAGATTCCCCATTTCTTTACCCATCCAACTACACCGTATGTAGCGCAATGTATCTGTAACACACTAATTCTCGCCTACACGCATGCGATCCTTCTAAACATTTTCTCCGCAGCCTGGCCCGCACCCAACATGTCAAGTTATGCGAGCTCCGCCACAATAGAGGGCGCAGTCAACCTTTGGCCCCAATCCTGACCACTGCCTAACACTTGCCAAGGAGCTACGACTTCCGCGGCACTGGATGCGATATAGGCATCAGCTGAGCTTATCAGAGTAGGTGTTATGATCTCAGCATATCGCGCACGTTAACGAGGCGGAATGGGCGGTGGGCATACAAGGGCCCTCACAGATGACCAGTGGTTGTCCCGACGCCGAGGACCCGTGTCACACAAGATGTTCAGGCGATCAATCCTGGTCACGAAGTCACATGCCTTGATGAAGACTATCCCACGCTGAGTCCAGACCCTGATGGTTCATAGGGAGTCGTTAGCAACGGCGAATTATCGTCGTAGCTAACCGTGCCGCATGCGTTCCATATGTTCGCATCACGAGAACATGTTGCTTGTATGTTTAGTACGACCCAAACGGCCTAGACCAGACTTCAACCCCCAAGAGGCATAACATCTGGCCAAGGCGTAATACCAGATACCTTCACCGTGAAATACGCCCGAGCAGATAGATCACGCTTACCACACATACTCCCATCAGATAAACCACGAGCCGCCTTTGGGCATCACCACGTGCATCTTCTCAGCAAAGCCCCAGGTTCAGCATGTCATACGCGTTCATCGGGGCAGACCGACTGTTCGGTGCATCCGATCCGTTCTGATCTGACGGAGACGAAAGCACGGTCACGGGGCGTATGTCAGGGATCAGCCCGAGGAGGGCCGGGTGCTGATCTCACGTTGGATCGCGTGGGATAACGCAATGCTTACTGCAGATCGCTGGCGGAAGGGCGCGACTTGCCTCACACCCGGCGACATCTTCTTATGTTCGCGCTCATCTCGCGAGGATGCGATTGCAATGGCTTTGGGTGGTAATTTGGGTGGTTGATTATGTGATGAATGTGATACATGCACTGGATGAAATACTTTGTGTTCATCATGGGGGTTGTTATCTTCTTGCAGATGTCTACATTGATGTGCTATATGAAAACAATTTGAGCGAATGGAGTTGAAGGAGTCTTGGATAGCCGTTAGATGAGACGCCCGTTGTTTGTACCGTCAACTCTATTAGGTGCAAGTCTTGTGTGTATGAGACTTGGGGTGTCCAGACTGTTTATCCAAACACTTACCAATACAACACTTCTTCAACTGAATCATCGGATCAAAGGACCACAGAACTTCAAATTTCGCCAGCTCATCTCCTTCGTTCAGCACGAAAGGAAGCGTGATGTTCACCCTCTCCCTCGTCATCTCCACTGGCACATTCTCTTCGCCAATCGCCAGCACTGAGGTGTCCAAATACTGCACCCCGAAGACACCCAACCAGCTTTGTAGTTTGAGAAACGCCTGTAGCTCCTGCAAAAAGACCTTGTGCTCCTTCAAGTCAAAGTCGGAGATGCTGCGGTCATTTCCAGCCTAACTGAACTCGAATGGTGCGATACCGCTGTCGGTGAAACGCCATTGCGTTGGGACGACATCAGCCAGGAGCTCTTTGCGGGCCGTATGGTCGTTCCAGGGCTGCGCAATGTTGTCGACATGAACGAGCTTCTCCGCTTCTTCAAGCTTGAAGTGGTTGTGGAGAAGAGTGAGGCCGAAGAGATTGTGGACGCTGTGGGCGACGAACATGTCTCGGATTGTCGTGCAAATGAAATACTCTAGATTCTGGCTCTCGTAGGTTTTGTAGGCATCGTGGATGTCTGGTGCGGTGTTGAAGTGGTGGGGGGTGTATGGTTGGAATTCCATGTTTGCAAGTGTTTGTACGGAATGCTTGGGAGGAGGTAGGATAGAAGTCAGGGTGAGCTGGACTGACGAGCAACTTACACGCAATCTCCGCGGCATTTATATATGCTACTTTCGCGTTGTCGGAGGCGATACACAAGGAGGGTCGTGTCGCCAGCCGTCATGGGTGACGCATGAACAGTCTAGAAACAACTGATCGGTGCACTATTCAGGCTTTGCAAGATGCCTTCATCAAAGAACGACTAATGAGAGATCTACGGCTAATTCTGATAGAGCCTGACGCTCTTATCGCAACACCACGACGCCGGATGTAGACATACCTGCGGCATCACATATCCTTCCTTGGCACGCTTGACGGCGTCTGCGAATGAGAGATCATGCCTTGAGGCTCTTAATAGCATCTCAACCCCTTGTGACGGTATCATTGGTCCACGATCACTGCAGGCGGTACGATGGCATCAGGCTGATGAGTCCTCAGCCTGACCCCGCAAGGGGATCATTAGATACCGTGATCGTGAAGGTTCGATAGGTCGTGCTGATTAAAGGCGCATAGACTGCAGTGGTGTCAGTCAGGCTATCACGCAAGGTATAGCTCGCAGAGCATAGGTTGGATGATGTAAGTGTGAGAGTCTCAATCTCATTGGCAACAGCGATGATTGCCAGACCGGTGCCAACAGAGTAACGATAATTCACAAGCACTGGACTACGAAAATCTGCTGATGAGTGTCACGCAACATGGTTGAAGGAAGATAGCAGGATAACAATTGCAATTTTGAAGATACTAGTCTAAGTACATGTACACATTCGAGCTGGCTAACCAGAACGACTGCAAAGGGGGGCTCAAACGAGCTATAGACAAACGAAAGAAGCCGTAAGGGCTTGCTTTGAATACGAAGAGTCAAACACAACTTTTCAATCCATATTTTCATGTGATGGTAGCATCACACATGGGCTGCAATCATCGGAGCGGCTTAGTTCTTGCGGAGGATGCCACCGAGAAGGTCACCAAACATGTCGCTGCTCTCCTCGCTGTCCTCCTTGTCCTCCTCAGTGTCATTCTCCTCGTAGGAGTCCTCGACGGGGGAAGATTCGTAGGTGTCCTTGACGGGGGTGGGGGCAGACTCGTAAGAGCCGAAGGAAGGGGTGGGCTTCTCGTGGGCCATGCTGGGCTTGGTGTACTCGTGGACCATGCTGGGAGTGGGGACGGCGCCGTAGGCCTTGCTGGGCTCAACGTGCTCGTAGGCCTCCTTGCTGGGGGTGGGAACAGCGCCGTAGGCCTTGCTGGGCTCGGGGACATGCTCGTAGGCCTCCTTGCTGGGGGTGGGAACAGCACCGTAAGCCTTGCTGGGCTCGGGAACGTGCTCGTAAGCCTGGCTGGGGGTGGGAACATGCTCGTAGGCCTCCTTGCTGGGGGTGGGGACGGCGCCGTAGGCGTTGCTGGGCTCGGGAACATGCTCGTAGGCCATGGAAGGCTTGGGAGCGTGCTCGTAACCCTGGCTGGGCGTGGGCTTAGCCTCGTAGGCGGAGCTGGTGACTTCGGGCTTGGTCTCCTCGTAAGAGTCCTCGTCGTCCATGCCGAACAAGTCGCCGAGAGTCCTCTTGGAGAGAAGCTCGTCGTAAGACGAAAGCTCTTCAGTAGTGTCCTTGTAGGACTCCTCCATCTCGGGCTTAAGCTCGTCGGTAGAGTCTTCGGTCTCCTTGGGGATTTCCTTGTAGTCCTCCTTGGAAGGAGTGACGTAGTAAGAAGGCTTCTCCTCCTTCTCCTCCTTCTCCTCGGGCTTCTCCTCCTCCTTCTCCTTCTCGCCTAGTCCAAGGTCATCGACAATGGTGCGCTTCACAGGGAGGGCGGGAAGCCCAGCACCCTCGAGCTGGCACTTGTCGACTGTATCTGGTCAGCAAGGAAACTAGAAGTGATAGCAGGATGCGACATACGACCGGAGCAGGCCTTAGTGTCCTCGGCGTCCTTGGCCAAAGGAAGAGCAGCGGCGAGCTGAGCAGCGGCGATGATAGCGAAGAACTTCATGTTTGCGTTTGATTGACTTCGGTGGGAAAGATCGTAAGAATTATTAGAAGATATTAGTGTATAGTAGTGACTGTTGTGTGAATGAGATGTAATGAGCTGATGAGCAATAAGGTGGTATGAGATGTGGTCTTATATGCTCGAATGTGTCGGTGTCTATCCTGATGCTTCTTCCAGTGCACGGTGTTGATGTGCTTTTTTGGCATCGTCCTGACTGCACGCATGAAGATCGAATCGGTACTAATCAAAGCTACCAGAAACATTCCAGAAGCACTGTTCAACGGCCACTTTACCAGTGCATCACCATAGCGGTGAGAAGTCCGTCGGCTCGTGGGGAGCATTGCATCTGTGCCTGAATCTGATCGCGCGTCTGCATGATTCCAATACCGACCATGGAGCCGACCAGTGCATTACTGCGAGAACACCAGATTCGGAGACAGCAGTGCGCGCCATGGACATGAACCATTGCTTCACTCGTCACATGAAACGGGGATGAGGCGATCCTTCGACCAAAGCCAGCGCGTTCATGTTCTTTTGGGACATGCCATGCCGTGTACTTCTCAACATCTGCAACATATGAAGACCAGACTTGCAGGTCTTCTCAGAAGACAAGGTGTCTCATCTCAAGACTGTGAGCAGTCATGTGAAGCTGAATTGGAGTTGGGCACGCTTCAGGCGACACAGGTGCGCGACCTCCAAAGCTGTTTGCACCAGGCTTCGGCGGTCAGCTAGCCTACATGCCTGGCTAGATATCGAGGAAGTGCTAACATGTGCGAAGATCTCGGGTATGTGGAGTGACAGGAACAACATCGTGAAGTCGGGGTGCAGGAAGAAGGATGGGAAAGAGCAAACATCGTTGGGGATGCAGGACCCACCTAGCGCCCGCTCGGTCCGGCCAAAGCGGGGTCAGGCGAGCACATCAATGGAGCGGTGGACTAGAACCACGACGCATCTCAACGGCATCGTTTATCACGTTGTTCATCTTCTAACATTTACTGATATGCTAGACTGCCGTGCGCTATGTCACCATTATCGATAGTATTGTCACGGGATCTACCGCGGCATCTTCCGCTACCAGCACCACCACCCAACCCGCATTCAATCCCATCACTCTGTCCTCGTTATAGTACATTCCTCATCAGGAGCAGTCGAATCGTAACATTTGAATGGTCCCAGGATACCGAAACATGGATCTCTGCGTTGCTCACAGCTGAACTCCTTACAGCAACCGTCTTGGGGGAAGTCGCCGGGATCAGCAAGGCAATGTTCTGCTCATCATTAGCTAAATGCACGCACGCGCCTTCTATATTGCTTTCACGCTCGCAGTTGAACAGCAGAGGGATTGACAACGCACCACCGAGAGGTTGACAAGATGTTTGTCTAGATTCGTGCAGAGATAACGAAGCGGCCGATGACGCAAGTGCGAAGAGTAGGTGGATGGTGATCTTCATGGCGAACGAGGAAAGTTGGGTACTCATGGTAAAGCAAGTTTGAACGAGGCTGGAGCCGACTTCCATCTCTTTATTATACACACCATCATTGTTTCGCAAAGACTCCTACGCTTCGTACTTCCGCAAGCTCATCGCACTTTTCTTCTCGTTGTCTCAACATTCTAAGTGCGACGGAGACTAAAACGCGAGAGTCGGCGACCGAACTGCTCGCAGTTATCGTGAGATCAGCATGCAACTCGTGTTTCGAGACTACAGAATGTTCCGACACTTTTCTGGTCCGGGTCTCGGTGCGTGAGGCAAATAAGCATGACGATCCTGCTGTCGCGCGCTGTGCGCTAAGGTTCGAAGAACGAAAAAGCATTCCTCGCCACGCATGATGCTACTGTCAGCTTCGGGCCTTTCTTCTCAACGTCTGGAGTCGAGCCTGGGGTTCTAGCTGCATGCCATGTGTCGATTGGATTATCACACTTTCCCCTTCAACGCAGCAGGACCTTCCGCCGCACTGTCTTCAACGCTAGCAGGTTGATCCGATTGACAACAGATCATGTTTAAGACTCACACTTCAAGATGCGCAATCAACGAATGAAATGAGCCGGAAGCAGCGAAAATGAGCTTCTCTCGTACACCACCAACTTCTCAGCAACAGACGCTCCGATGACCAACTATTCCAGCCACAGCAGCACAAGCCGGCGACGTGTCTCACCACTACGGTGTATACAAAACGCCCAGTCCATTCGTCCACCTCTCACCGCAAAGTGCGCCGTATGAACAACAACCTCTAATTTCTCCGTGACTAACAACTCTCCGGCTTCCTCAACACTTTCGACACCATACACGCACCCATATGATGACGTACGTGACCCTACTGTGCAAGGCTGAATTGCCGTATCAAAGCTTCAACACCATTTCACACCGCGTACTTCGCTGCATCCTCGTGTCAAAGCTTCTAACCACTCACACACTCCGTGTCACGCTCATTCCGGCATCAAAGACACCCGTATCAATGCTTCATAACGCTCGTGCACCATCTATCTGCCTAATTCTCCCCAAGTCTTCTCTCTCACATACCCCTCGGTTGCTCAGTGCATCCATCATAGCTCCAAACTCTCCTGGTCATAGCACATATGCCAATCGTCCAAATGCCCATGTCCATCCCACCTCCTCTCACACACCATCCCCTTACAACAACCCTCCTGCGGGCGATCAGGAAGCGGCCTGCAATGTTCTGAAATACGATCAGCTACACCTTCATAGTATCAAGGAGACGTAATCAAGTGCACATATGTGAGAAGCGGAGAGAAGAGGAGGGAACATTGAGACTTACGCTTCACAATCCGACACTCCGGTTCTCCGAGAGTCTCGACTTGCACAAGTAGCGGCTTTAGACACTCATGGATTGTCTGGTGCAGGTCACTCTCCCTACACATCAACCCCTTGCAGCATATCTGTGGCTCGTCGATGTCACGGTTGCACCGGTCTGCCATGTATGATTAGCCTTGACATGATGACGTGTTCACCATGATGAAATATTGTTGTTGTACAGTAGAGGGTGAGAAACGAGTGTAAGCACGAGACGAGAGAGGGGGGAATGTACCAAACCTGTTTAAGCACTTGGATGCAAGGACCGACTGGTCATGCCAGTTGTTGTTGACGGTGATGGAGAGACAGGTTGCTGTCGTGATGAAGAGAAGTGTCAAGAAAGGTGCTTTCGTCATCATTACAGGCTGTATGTAGTGCTGGTGTAGAGATGGCAAGTATCAAGGAAATGAGACGAGGATGTGTGCGGACAGATCTTCCGTATTCTCATGCTCATATATACATCTACAAAACGCCTCCGTGTCGTGCAAAGAAAACACAACTAACAACGTTGTACCGCTCCGCTTTGGCATAGTCCCGACTTCCCTTGCTACACGAACTTCTACTACGGTACGTACCTTCTTCTTTCAAGTAGTAGAGTCAGCCACCTTGCCGCATTACGACCAAGTCGACGAATGAACGTTGGATCCTGGCGAAAGGACTTGTTGTGTGCGTGAACATCGAAATTAGTCTGCCGCCGTCATAGGTGCAGTATGACTAGCTCTTTACATCTACCGCTTTTGTGTCATATTGCGTACCTTCTTCTTTCAACTACTAGAGCCAGCCACTTCAACGTATTACGACCAAATCAGCGAATGAGAGTCAAATGCTAGTAAGAGGACTTGCTACGTGCGTCGACATCGTATTTACCCTACGCCGTCATAGGCGCAGTAGAAAGAGCTTTTCACATCTACCGTTCTCGTGCCACGATACGTATGCCCGGCCTCAAGTCCCTCGACTTCTGAGGGGTACGCGGGCGTACTTGGAATGTTGGACAAGGTGAACGGTGCCGGAAGCTCGGAGAAAGATGAGTATACGCAGCGAATGTCGTGGCACGATTTCGACACCTGCGATACATGTGAGCATATCACATCAAGTAAGATGAGAAACGTACAGAAGTATATAAAGCGCAAAAAGGTGTCTTTTCATTATCTACATGAATCACGTTCCTTATCATCCCTATCATCCATCCATCCATTCATCCATCTCATACTCATGCGAAGGGCGTAAAGGCGGTCATTACTGAGGAGGAGAGAGATCGGGGTCGCAACCGCAATACAAAACACGACGGCAAGACAAGCAAAACAAAACAAAACAATCTAAAATCCTCCCACAGCCACCCCACCATCTTCAAAAAGGGAGGGTGCCAGTGCAGCAAGGGTATAATGCAACTTCCCATCCATCTTCCACTTCCGTCTTTTCGTCATCTTATGCGTCCATCCGCAACGCAGCAATCTTCATACTCGAACTAAAGAAAAAGGTATCATCAAACAAGCGTCGTCATCTTCACGCTTATTTCTTACCCTTCTTCTTGTTCTTCTTCTTGTTCTTCCCCGAGCTGGGTGTAGCCTCGCCGTTGGCCTCACCGTCTTCCTCTTCAGCTTGGTTACCAGGCGTGGTAGGTGTGGTGGGTGTGCTTGGCTCCTCAGCCTCCTTGGGAGCTTCGGTCTCGGCGGCACCATCGACGGCAGGAACGTCAGCAACGGCTTCGGGCTCTACCTTGGCTTCGGCGACGGGCTCGGCAACGGGCTCGGTGGCGACTTGCTCAGGGGCGGGCTCGACGGCGGGTGCGGCGGATTCCTTGGATTCGGCCTTGGAAGAGATCTCAGCGTTGGCCTTCTTGAGTTCCTCTTGCTCAGCCTGAGCCTTCTCGAGTTGCTCCTTAGCGCTGGCGAGCTCGGTCTTGATGTCATCACGCTCCTTCTTCGCGGCTTCGGCATCGGATGTCAGGGCGCTGGTCTTCTCCTCTTGCTCCTTCAGGGTAGCCTGGAGAGACTCGAGGGACTTCTTAGCGTCGGCAGCTTCGGTCTTGGAGGTCTCAAGGTCCTTGGTCGCGGTCTCGGAGGCAGCGGTGGCCTCGTCGAGCTTGGCCTGGAGGGCGGTGAGTTCAGACTCCTTGGCCTTGGCGGCCTCGACGGTAGACTCGAGCTCAGCGATCTTAGCATCGTTGGCCTTGATCTTCTCCTCAAGCTCGCT